TTGTGGGAAATACCTAATAAAGCCACATTAACATATTTTCTGTGCATCTAAATGTGATTACAACAATGGCATAGTATGAGAGAGGATGCTATCCATGGATATTTATACATATACAGTATATACAATTTCGGGAAATTTTGCATTCGTTTCAGACTTGTAAAAACACTAAAACCTAAAATATATTGTAAGCTGAATATACAATTGTACACTGCAGTGAAACATGCTTTCCACTGGTCTAGTGTTTGTGAAGTCAGTGTCAGTTTTCAAAGACAGTACTGTATTTATGCAGAAATGTCATGTTTTGCAGCTCCTTTTATGGGGAATTCATAGCGGTGGACTGCAGAGAAAATATGAAAGACCATGTAATATCACAATTTATAAGGGTGAATAATTGTTTCCCTTTGTGATAGCCAGTGTGAAAAAACGTAATTCTCAATTAATTTAAATTACACACGTCCCCCCCCCCCCCCCTAAGGTAAATATTATATGATCCTTATCTGCTTGCCTTGGTAGATAAAGGGCAGACAATTAAACCAATTTAATAGTTTCACTATTCCTGATTATATGAGAGTATTTAGTTAGTTATTACATGCAATTCCACACAGGTTACGAGTTTTAAGCTTGTATTGGAGTTTTGCAGAAAAACTCCTTTTTGTTATAACGTTGAGCAGGAACAGAATGAGAAAACATGCTTAATGATTGTGTTAAAGGTAGTCGTTTAAATGGCATGGTTTATACAAAAAGTGTCAATTGCATGAACATTTTTTTCTCAAGATTGTTGATATTGTAATGTGTTTATATGAAAAGTGTTGTATACTTGTTTTTCTCATTTTATTTCTGTTTATAATGGGGGTGTAATGATACATTCATTCATCAATATTGAATCTCAAGCTCACGATGCATGCTTCAAAACATGTCCATAGTACGATTTTAAAAAAATCATATATGTTGGACGTAATATTTTCACAAGAGCCATGCAGCCACAAATGGTCACTACATTTGCCAAAATAAAAACAGATTCTCGAATGGAATCATCACCCTGAATTATGACAATACATCGAATTGCTGGGAGGGTTAATCATTACACCCCTTGTTTGACTTTATAATTTAACATTTTGGTGTAAAGTGTTTGCCCCATCTTCTCTGGACAAAGAGGCTCTGATTCAGTATGATGAGTATTGCATTAAATAAACCCGGATTTGGGCGTTGAACGATATATTGTGGCTAAAATATACTTAAGACATCAAAGGAATATACCAGAGATATACATTGAGTGATCAAGTAAAAGGGAAATATGTCCTGTAAAACACACACTTTCAGTTTAAATAGCTTCAGAAAATTTAGTATGTATCATTGACAATATTTTGACAAGCCAGATCATAAGGAATTGACAGTCTCACAGTCCAGTATAAATCCAAAAATGCATAGTGATATGGGGCACCTCCCCTGCGCACCCTGTAATTCGCAATGCACCGTAAAGAATCTCAATATCCTTGACGATAAATCAGTGCACAGCACACTTTAAGAAAAATGATCCATGCAACTCCAGTAATCCGTGAATATTTGTGGATTATAGGATGAGCATGACACTTGGCTAATGACGTCAACAATACATGGAAAAAAACTGCATATTATAGGGTGTTAACAATAATTTCAAAACATCTGGGAATATGGGTCTACACTAAAGGAAGATTGGAATTTAAAAAAGCTAAAATCCTTAAATACTTAACAGACCACATTAGCACAGTTAATGATATGAACCAAAAACAATTATTGTTTTATGCATGTTTGTCTCTCTACATTTCCATTGTCTCGCTGAATTTTTATTCTTGTAACTCTATTTGTCTATCAGTATATCCATTTGTTTATCTCCATTTGTCTCTTTGTATCTTCGTTAGTCTCGCAGTATCTCTGTTCGTCTCTATCTGCATCTGTCGCTCTATCTCAGACTCACAAAGAGACGTTTATAGAGATGTGTGTTGAAGTGCTTCAAACAATTATTTCTTTGCGTGTGTGAAGCAACGGAAATGGAATTCTGGGGGGGGGGGGTTACGCATGGCGAATAAAAAAAAGCCGCTGTACTTAAAAATATAATTACCTTCGCAATGTATTGCAAATTGTCGGAGGAAATAAGCCGCCTATAATATATAATCCGTGGACTTTCACAGATTATATACGTTTTAGTTCACCCCAGAAGAGATCCAAAAATCCACTCAACACTGCAAATTTTAAGATGTTAAACGTTAGAGGCCAGACAAATAATCTACCTGTGATAATGAAATGTTATGGTTTACTTGCATATGTTAACAATTCTAATGAACAAAAATATATGTATTTAGCTGCTGTTTTTTAATTTTAACTCTTTAATTGAAAATGGTAAGGGTAAAGGAATCAAAATTTCCATCTGTCTGCGGGTGCTCTCGCGACCATAATTCTTAACCGATTTTGATAGGACAAGTATGAAAAGTTTTTCAGGGTATATAGAAGGTTCGAACTGTTGGGCATAAAATCGAAGATGTCAAATAAAACGTATGTAATTAATGAAAAAGTGCATCTAGTAAAATATAGCACGTTAACCCTTTCCGATTTTTATTTAATCTCCATGATTATGAAACGTGCGAATTGTTTTGATTTCACAGCATCTATGAGGCACGTGCATATGCTATACATAACCTGCATGTGTAGTAATTAGATGTTAAAAATATATTTCACTGGTTGAGCACGGAAGTCAATTTCATTTTTAAGGAAGTAAAAGCTTTTCAATGCTTAAAATGATTGAATATCTTAGAATAAAAATCATGATTGTGTTCATGGTGGATGCAAGATAAGGCAAATTCCTCATAGAAAAAAGTCTACACCCAATTTAACAAATGTGAGATGTTATCCTCACCAACAACATACATTGTATTTGCCACCATGCCGATAGGAAGAGAAATAGTCAATAATTTATTTTATGAATTGGACAACAGACCATACGCATTTTAGATTATAATTTGAGTAAACCATGGTTCTATTGACATAATTTAATTTAGAAACAAATGTATGAAATACAAATATCTCTTGAACACTTAGAGTGCATCCTGCTACAAATAGAGATATCCTGGTCAAGTTTACCAGTCTCTGCAGACCAACAGATTCACATCCTTAATCCATAGCTGTCGGTAGCATAAACAACAATTCCGCATGTTAACTACCAGACAATTCAATGTGGTAAGTAGAACCTGCATACACCCCCGGCAACACGACAATGTCAGGGCCAACCCCGCGTGATTGGTGGTGACTGAGAAGCTTCAAGTAGCTGTGTTTGCATTGGCAACTCTTCCTTGGCACCCTCACTGCCAGTGCCATTGAAGTTCCACTCGGGCAGCTCCTACAGCAGCCATCAGTCGTGGCAACATCACATAGTAAGTGGGGGGTAGAAGCAGGGTTAGCAGCAATTGGGCAGCCAGATGTGAGAGTGGCTATGTTTGTGGGACACCACACGTGTGTTGCCCACGGTGCATGCACCACTCTCCTATGCCCCACTGGTCCCCCCCCCCCCTGACTGTAACTTCTGACCAGCTCGGAACTGGTAAGACTGACATGCACATAGTGATTATTTTAGGCATGCAAACTCCCGTCGGCATACCCATAGATAATGCCACCCATGCACCCTTTAGCAGTCATGCTACAACAGCACTGGTTGGTTTTTGCCAACTGCATGTGAAGGTGGCAACTTGGATGTTCGTGGCAACTGCTCGCAAAAACAGTCATTAGCTGCTAGTCCCACCAAATGTGTATGCAAATGTTAATCACATCTTTATTATTTTCAAACATAACCCAACCCTGATACCTCTGTTGAATTAGTGCTCCATTGTTTCAATATCTTGTTCCATATGTTTCATGTTTAGAGCGTGATGATAAATAAATGTGTCCCCACAGTTTGCATGTAAATGCGCTTGAAACAGCTGGTTTCTGTTTGCAGCAAGATTTGTTTTGTTTATGTTGTGATGATCATTTTCAATTAATTTTTCATGTTTATTACATCTTGAGGATGCAGAACACATTTAGATGATGTCATATCAAAATTGTATTGTTTTGAATGTCGGCCAACTTGACTTACTGTATAACCCACAATGCCCACAAATCAGAGCTCTCAAATAAGATTCATTCAGCAAGAGATTAAAACATTGAGTGTCACTCTCTCAAGATGACAGCGCCTAATCTCGCGCATTCGCAGAGCGTGGCAATTTCTGGTGTCACATTGAGAAGAGAACCAGCTCCCTCCGCTGGCATCTCTTATATCCTGAGTCAAGCCCCACTGAGCTAAGAAGCTCTTTTTGAAGACTCACACACGGAGGCTGTCCAATATCAAGTCCCATGTTGCACCCTTTTGAACTGTGTTTACTTACAAGTCCCATATTCTGTGTAATAGATTGTTTAAATATATTGTTTTTTTACCAAATTGCCTAAATAACAGCTAACTCGTAAATTGTAAGTGCACATTGTATTAATATACTTCTCTGTGTAAAGTAATGCAACTGATATATGTAACAATGTGATTGGCAAATAACAGGCTTAAGAATGTTGGAAAAGCTGATTTATTCACATAAATTATTACCTCTTTCAGTATGTAAACGTAAACACTGGGGAGATAATAGTGTTCTACCCACCATCTCCATATGTGTTGTACTAGAAGGGGATCTTTGTATTTCCTTGTTGTGTGCTCTTTCAGCTGTGTATTGTTTGCTTAAAATTGCCATTGATGTTTCAAGGTCTTTTAAATTATCCTCCTTAACATGTATGCCGAATTAAGTACAAAGCCTAATCTATATAGTATACCTACGTGACTTTACCGAAAGAACCAAAGAGTATGGATTCCTGCAGTCACGAAAGCTTCAAATCTTAAATCTTAATCTATATGCCTGTATGTTTGCTTCCTGTGTATGGATGCATTGCAGAATGTCGTTGCATTGTGTATTCTGCTTATTCGTTATTTCTTATGGCTGTTTTCATTTTAGAAAGAAGGTGAAATGGTGGAAAGAAGACCCTTCTCCATACGCTCCTCACTGTCATGCCCCTGCCAGGTTTCCTTTCTCATGGTGGCAATGCTAACAGCAATATGGGGTGCTGCAGAGTGCTGCCCCTCGCGCTGTGAGTGCTTGCCCTCTCCCAACTGGTCGGTTGTTTGTCATCGCAAGCGACTTCTTACCATCCCGGATGGAATACCCATAGATACAAGGGTATTGGATCTCAGCAAAAATCGTCTGAAGTGCATAAATTATGGAGATTTTTCAGGCTACCCACAACTGCAGGAGTTAGATCTCCATGAGAATGTAATCTCTAATATTGAGCCAGGCGCTTTCAACAACCTGCACCATCTGCACACTATTCATCTGCAAAGCAACCGCCTCAAGCTCATCTCCATGGGTGTGTTTGCTGGACTGCAAAACCTGACACAACTGGACATTAGCGAGAACAAAATAGTTATTCTTCTCGACTACATGTTTCACAATTTGCACAACCTGCGTTGGCTGATGATGGCTGAGAACGATGTGGTCTACATCTCACAACATGCATTTAGTGGGCTATACAGTTTGGAACAACTGACATTGGAGAAATATAATTTAACTGTGGTACCCAGAGATTCTCTCATGCATTTGCATCGGTTGAAAGTGCTGAGACTCAAATACATGAATATTAATTCCATCCCACCTTATTCCTTTAAACGTCTTGTACGGCTGAAGATTTTAGAAATCGACCACTGGCCCTACTTGAGCCGTCTGCCTCCCAAGAGCCTCTATGGCCTAAACCTGACATCACTCTCTGTCACCCACTGCAACCTGACTACATTTCCGCATGCTGCCATGCACCATCTTGTATATCTACGCTACCTGAACCTCTCTCATAACCCTCTAGGTGTCATTGAAGCACATGCACTCTCTGACCTTGTGCGGCTCACTGAGCTGCATGTCAGCAATGCACAGCTGTTAGCCATTGAGCCGCAGGCATTCAGTGGGCTTCTGCACTTGCGCGTCCTGAACACATCTGGAAATCTTCTCACGACGCTGGAAGAGAACGTTTTTCAGGCTCTGGGAAACCTGGATGTGCTCCGTCTGGATGGAAACCCATTGGCTTGTGACTGCCGCCTGTTGTGGATCCTTCGCCGGCGACGTCGCCTCAATTTTGACGGACATCAGCCGATCTGCGCTACCCCTGACTACGTGCATGGGCAGGAGCTTAAGGTATAATGCAGCAGAGCACACTCAGACACACCTCTTATATGCATCGGTGATGAGGTGCACTTCTTCACCCACAGGTCAACCCATACCCGTTAAATAAAAATGTTATTGGTGTAAATCATGAGCAAAGGTAAGTGCACCAAATTCAATTGTTGTACTGTACTTCTATGCCCTCAAGTTTTTTTTCTCCCACCTTCACCAACCCACACTGACGAGTCCAGCATAGTCATAGTCTCCTCACATTCTATATAAAATGTTTGTGTCACCGGGTGTAGTGTCGTGGTTAGCGCGCTTGCACTACGAACCCGGCGACCCGGGTTCAATTCCTGCTCACGGCCAACACCAGTGACGATTATTTGAACCGGTCCAGGGCCTCCCCTAGGTCGACTCAGCCTCAAATGAGTACCTCGTGCGGTATGGTGTCATGGAACTCCATCATTTAATTCAATGTCATCCGTGTATATTACCAGCAATGCTGGTACATTACCAGCAATGCTGGTGATGTAAAGCTATTTTGTTGACTTCAATTACAGTTCATATTGGACTTTTTGTGGTCTTCATTGTTGATGCCAGCATATTTGAATGTGAAGAGCTGACTTCAATAAGTTTGCCTTTGTGCACAGTTGACAATGTGTACAAATATAAAGACATTGTTTTTCAATACATCATATTATATCAAGCATGGTTCTCAAAATGTCAATGGCATCTGTAGTCCCCTTCACCTATACAAACCAAACTTGCATTACAGAAATTAAGGATTGATAATGTCACAACCTGTCTTTCAACACCTGATCATATATTTTGTATGCATGAGGACAACTAATGACAGCTCTGAAAATTCACATCACAGGGTATCTAATTTGTATCCATATATTAGACAGGTTATTCATCTGGTCCATTTATTTGGTACTGTACCCTGTTTGAATGCCGAGTTATATATTTTTGTAAATTACCTAATCAATTGCTTTTTTATGGTTATAAAACTTATCATAAGCTATGTTACATTTAACAACTCTAAGGTGTACGCACAGACAGTAGGAAGGCACAACTCCCATCATTCCTTGCGTGCATGTCATGTGACCACATTGAATGTACAGCGCTCTCAGCCTTGTTTGAGCTTCTAAACTGTGAATTTATCAACTTATTTAATGTAATTATTTGCACATTTTTGCTATTTTATATTTGCCTTGAATTCATTGTTCCATCATACCTCCTGCCACATTTTGGTTTTGATTATAATTTATGTATTATGAAACAGTCAATGCACTAATTGCATATATCTTCTGGGTACAGTATGTGGATAGCGCTTCACTTTCACTATTTCTAGCCCTTCGTCGTTCCATAAACAAGTACTCTTTGGTTTTTTCGGTAAAGTCACATAGGTAAAAATTTTAAATTAATTAAATCACGATGTTTCCGGCGCACCACAAGCGTCCTCCTTCAGGTGGGGACAACTTAGCAAAAGCACACCGCACCGCTTAAGTGTGTGTTCCCACCTGAAGAAGGACGCTTGTGTTGTGCCCGAAACGTCGTGATTTAATTTATTTTAATCTTTTACCTACGTGACTTTACCGAAAAAAAACAAAGAATATTAATCCTTGCAGTCACGAAAACTTCAAATCCATAAACAAGTCTTTTTGGTTAATTTAGTTCTTGGTTCAACTTTCTGCCATCATCTTCCATTCTGCCAACTATTTTTTTATTCTAACTGCTTAATATACATTTATCTCTCTCTGTGATTTGAGCTACGTTCATAACCCCATTCATTATATGTTTCAATTTCACCTTGACATCATCTTGTACGACTTGCTGTTTTTTGACATGCAATAATTAAATACCACTCATGAAGAAACTGAGCCAACTTCCTGCACTATGGAACTAATTCCCTAAATCAATCATCGACTACAAGTTAAACCCACGATGGATCAAAGGCAAGTGAGCTTTAACGTTTCAAGCCAGCATAGATTTTTCAGTAAAGAGGACCACACTTCAGAAGCCTAGAGAAGAGAGGTTATGATTGTTGCTGAGAAGATGGGGGGCTTCATGTGGGGTGACAGATTAGGCAGCTTCAACAGAGTGATATTCAACCGAGGAAAATATAATGCCACTCTATTTTGGGTGAAACCTCTGCCACCAAATCAGTGTCCGAAGACTATCATTGTCCAGGTGCAGGAAGTCCACAACTCTGTCAAGAATCACTCCATTACCCACGAAGTATATTGAGAGGGTGGAATGATGTTTGATGATATAGAGTACCTGGGCAGGTGTTTGTTGAGGCTGAAAGTAAGACCCTGTCTCTTTGTGGCAAGCCCCAGGTTCAATGGCAAAATCTCAAATTCCCAGAATGAGCATCAGTTAACAGGTTACAGTATATATCAGCATACAGTACATGGTTGACCAATATAGAGCCATCGTTTGACCTCACCCAGGTACATTCAACCTTGCAAGATGGAAATTTCACTCGTAGGCGCCATAGAAAGCATATCGAACAACAGCGTTTAAAAAAAGATGTTAAATAGTGTAGTAGACAGATAAAATGCCTGTCGACTAATTGCACTGACATTGTTTTTACACCCAGGCATTAAATTCCTGAGTGATCATGAGCAGCAGGTAAGGGACTCTAAAAGCATAACATATATGCGAAAGCTCTGCCTTTTTATGGTATAATAGGCCTTTGCTAAGTCAATGAAGTAGAGGCATATATTCCCTTGGGAATCCCTACATCTTTGCTGGTAGAGACAGGTGGAGAATATGGCATCTGTGTAGGATCATCACTGCCTGAAACCATACTGGACCTCTGCAAGGTTCTTGTCAGCATGGCTGGCAAGGCAAAATAAAATAATCATTCGATTATCTTTCCCAGGATATTGACGATGGAGATGCCCCAGTAGTTATTAAAATCAGTACAGTCCCTCTTCCTATAAAGGTGGGTCATCAGGGCATCCTTCAAATCCTGCAAAATGCAGGAGCCTTTACAACCAACAATAACAGCCCATACATGTACAAAGACAAAGCCTTAACAGACTTGGGGCAAGTGCTGTTAGCGAGCACCTATAAAGGCCAGCACGGCACGCGAGGTGGTGGGTGTCCAGTACCAGGCTCGGTCGCCTTTGTCTCGCCAGTGGCGATATTTACACACCAAACCAGTTACGAATTTTAGACTGAGTCGACCTAGGGGAGGCCCAGGACCAGTTCAGATAATCGTCACTGGTGTTGGCGTGAATCGAACTCGGTTTGCCAGGTCCGTAGCGCAGCGTTATAACCACTACACTACCACTCCTCACATACATGTACATACCCACACATGCACAGACATAGACTATACATACAAAGTTTACACATACAAAGTTTACACATACACATAGATACAGATATACACACACAACCACTAAAACAAAGATCCCCGTATAGTCTTAACATAACGTTATCGCATTGCTGTTAGCAGGCACCTATGAAGGCTGACACGACACACTTGGGGGTGGTTTGACCAGCAACTACGCCTCGTCCGTCTTTGTCTCTAAATTGCTAATGTTTGCACACCACAAAGGGTACTGATTTAAGGCTGAGTCGACCTAGGGGATGCCCAGGACCATTTCAAATATAAGCCACTGATGTTATCCATGTTAGCCGTGGCTGGGAAGGAAACTCATACATACTGGTTATATGCATAGATATATTTTAACACATACATATACAACATTACATACAATGTAATATGAACAATTCTGATGGACTGGCTAAGTTACTGATGAAAATTCGAATTATGTTCTCAAAGCGATGAAATGCAAAAATTTGACACAAATATAGTCATTAGTTAACTAGAAAAATTGTTTTGCATGTTCTGTTTTTAAATCTTAGTCAATGAAAATGAATATCTATAAATTTTCAATGGTGCATAATGCAGATATTTCATAAAACTACTTTTTGGTAACTTTTTGAACTTTTGATGTTGAAGCCAAAAGAAAAGTGGGCAAAGCCATTGACCATTTAGCATATATATTCACTCACAGCCATATTTACATTCACGTAATCACACTCTTCCAGCAGCAAGAGCAGCATTATGAACAGCAGTAGCAACAACAAAAAAGTTGAAACATTTGGCAGTGGTCCATGCTTTGAATACAGTGGTTTGAAGTCATGGGTAGGTGGCTCATACAAATGTGCGTAGCTCCAAATCCCTATGGATTGTAAGATGGCCAGGCAATGATAGTACAACAAGTGGGTATGTGAACTCTTATTTGCAGAACTCATTTGCATGGGATTATTCTTGGAGCCGCAGTGTTTTGTTTCTGCAGATAAAGAACACTATCTGTGTAGCTTTACTGAATAATCGTCATCAGTGGCCAGAAATTGAATTGCGGTAACTACGTTCATGGCACAGAATGCTCACCAATGCACCCATTTATATGGCTTAATATACCCATGATGACGGGTGAGTCATGTATTGACAGGCTCATTGTCTCACCTGGAGTAATATTGCTTAACATATTGATTAATTGCTTCAATTGAACCTTATGGCGGTACCCCGGGGTACCATAGTACCCCAGCTCTCGCATAATGTCCGTGATGCAGTAATTTGTAGTCTGTTGATGGTCGGCGATGCAGCAATCGACTCATCTCGACGAGCTGTACATGATGCACTGTGGTGCGTACGAGCGTTCAGGGTTTCAGCGCAATCATCCTCGCTGCGTTTCGACAACGCAGAGTAGCACTGATTGATTGGTACCCCAGTCGCGGAGTTAAGGGGCCGTCCATAAATGACGTCACGCACCTGGGGGGGGGGGGGACGGACAGACATTTGTGACGATGTGTGACGAGGGGGGGGGAGGGTTTGAGAAATGTGACGTCACATCAAAATGCCGCAACTTTAAATAAATATAGACAACACGTTCTACTTAATTAAATATACTTTTTAATAAATGTTTTCTCCTACAACATCAGAGTGCAGCGCCACATTAAATACGCACTACAGTGACAATAGCTTAAAGCGATTTGAAGCATGT